CATTGATATTTTCTTATAAGTAATTAATTGAAATTTATTCGGCGCCATCGTTTGCTATAACCATATTAAAATTGTAATACTTTCTTTATTAGTTCTGTTTATGGGGAAGTGCTGCCGCATATTAACGTCCAACGACTGAAGAAAAAAGAAACGATAAATGACGGTCGTAGAAATAAATGAAAAGAAGCAAGTCGACGGGGACGGTTCAATGGCGATGCCGGTCACGTCTGTTAATTAATTCGCGTTCCACGGACGGAGTGACAAACTGGAACGGCTTTTTCCGAGAGCTAAATTGAAATTTTCCGATCGACGCCTCTAACGGACGTCCCCAGGGTGACGACAACGAAAAAGACGACCAATAAAACGGAACGAATAAAACTCTTAACTATTTTATTGCGTGCTACTGTATAAATATAAATAAAATCTAAACAACTTCCTATACAAATAAGAAAATTAATTATTTGATATGATTGTTTTTAACACAGACTCAACAAAACGATTAAATCAGAAATGGTTATGCATAAGTTGGTTCGGTCATAAGCAGTACCTAGAAGCTCCGTTGAAACGTATAATTACAAGAACCATTCGAACGTAGAGGCTACTGCGCAAAGAGACGGCGGCGACGACGCCGACGGTTTGTTTGGAAATGCACAAAGCAATTTACCGGCGGCGATAACGCTAACGTACTGGATTAAATCGCTCGAAACGTTCTAAACGGTTCGTGGAAACGTCGACGTTAAAACCTCCTCGGCGAGTTTCCACCGGGAAGTCACTCGCGTTCTTCTACTTTAACGTCGGAGTTTTTCCAACCATAAAATGGTTTTATTTCATGGCATGGATCCGTCGGACCTGACTATATACAGTAGTGAACAAGGCAATCGAAATTTAGATTTTATTGTTCTGAGCAATCGTACAACATTACACTTTTCTAGAAAAAAAAAACTTTGAAATACAATATATGGCTTTAGAAAAGAAATTTACTCATATACAGTATCTTGCACAGAATAGTTCTTTTTTTTACACGTTTCTGTCATGATATGAAAAACATTGAAAAAAAACATGACTCCTTTTATCTTTTATCATCATTCTATATGATATCCATAAGAAGCTGATATCTTCCAATAATCATTCCTCGACGATGACTTAGAGGTATCTTAAGTTCTTGCCTCTCTTAAGATTGTTGATGGTGACCTCTACATAGTTTCTGCCCTAACTTAGACATATACCCAGATAACTCGTAATCTATCCTGGCCGCTCTAAACATCTTCCCAACCCAACTCATCATTTATGACATCGACTGAAACCATCGGTGACCTATCTCAACACTGTCCTGACCCCTTAACCATGTTCCTCAACCTCTATAACCATCGTTCTTGATATATCTAAGCATTATCCCTGATATTTCTCAAAATTCATTCTGGTATTTCTTAACATCGTCACTGATTTTATTCAGCATTGTGTTTTAGATAATATCTTCAAAATTTTCTTTATATCTTCCTATTATTTTATTCGTTAGAAATAAAACGACGAAAACAGTTTAATTTGTCATTAAAAACATGTTTGTTATTCGCAATATTACTATTGTACTTGTTGGCTGCCACAGCTATTTTTATTGCGTTGCCAAAATTATTTTTCTCTGTTTTCTATGTTTCAATTTATTTTTCCCATTAATGAGTAATATTTTAGGTACTCAACCGAAAACACTTCAAATATGTGATGCTCCTAGAAAGATACACATACAACAATTTTTATATGGGGAAATGATTTCTATGGCCCCACGGAAACTATTCTGGTGAGTTCAACAACTGGCACAACAGATACTAGAGATTATTGAAAAATATTTTACAAGGTATGTACAAGTGGTAGAAGGGATATCGATTATTAATAAAAGTATCTTCTTTTTAATGCAAAATGCTGTTTTGAAAAATCACATTCAGTTCTTGAGAAATAAATTTTTGAAATGACCGACAATTTTTTTCGAATATTGCAATTTTCGCCGATTAAGTTTTAAAAATTCGTATGAAATCAAAAAAAAATTGATTATAAGATAATCAAATTGTCTTATTAGATCAGTATCTTCGCGAAGACTATGAAATTGACAATACTCTTGTTCGTTAGAAAGGCAGACTAATAATAATAAAATTATGGATTAACTGCAAATGAAGGAAGGTAGAACATTAAACGTAGACAACTTCTTTACCAGCTATCTACTAGCATCAGCATTTCTTCGCCACAAGACTATATCTAGTCTACAACAATAGAAATGAAGAAAAATAGTCTGGATATGAATAAGGTAGTTAAAGGGTTTGAATGATTTGCAAGGAATGAAAGCAAAAATATGAAATTTCCAAATGTACATAAAGCTAAGGTGTGTATTGGAGGAAAGGATTACAATTCTTCTTTAGGCATGGACCAATGAATGCGTATCTAAATGATTTAAGCTGGTTGTTACGGAAGGAATAAACATAATATGCGTTATAAGTAGTTATAACAGAGACTACACTCCGGCATAAGTTTCCAGAATACCTGGTGCGAATCAATGTGAAGAGAAGAATGCCTGTGGAGAGGAAAAAGCTGGTGAAAAGGATGAACAGTTGAATATTTTCCAATCAATCATACATGAATAAGCCAAAACGTACATCATCTATTCTTTGTTCTTAATCTCTATAGGCTCAGTATTTTGCAGTGACGTCATTTGTAAATTTCTCCATCAGCCATATAAAAGTGGCCCAAAGTGTTAATAAGAGTGTCCTCTTTCCAATGAACCAACACGATTTGAAATATAACTTTTAGTTTTTGAGAAAACAATATTTGAAATTTTGATAAAATTTTCGATGTTGCAATTTTCATCGATAATTTCGCAATAAAGGAAGGATCTTTCTTGGAATATGAGTATGAAAATTTTCCGAAGTGTTAATAAAAGTATCCTCATTCCAATGAGAAAACAATATTTGAAATTTTGATAAAATTTTCGATGTTGCAATTTTCATCGATAACGTTCAAAATTCGCTATAAAATTGATTTCTTGAAGGATCCTTGTGGAAATATCACCAATTATTAATTATAGTATGCTCTTTTTAATGCAGCAAGCCGTTTTGAAAAATAACTTTTAGTTCTTGAGAAATAAATTTTTGAAATAATCTACAATTTTTTCGAATTTTGCAATTTTCGTCGATTAAGTTATAAAAATTCGTATAAAATCCATTTCTTGGAATATGAGTATGAAAATTTTCCAAAGTGTTAATAAAAGTGTCCTCTTTCCAATAAACCAACCCGTTTTGAAAAATAACTCTTAGTTTTTGAGAAAACAATATTTCAAGTTTTGATAAAATTTTCGATGTTGCAATTTTCATCGATAACGTTCAAAATTCGCTATAAAATTAATTTCTTGAAGGATCCTTGTGGAAATATCACCAATTATTAATTAAAGTATCCTCTTTTTAATGCAAAAAACCGTTTTGAAAAATCACTTTTAGTTCTTGAGAAATAAATTTTTGAAATAATCGACAATTTTTTCGAATTTTGCAATTTTCGCCGATTAAGTTTTAAAAATTCGTATAAAATCCATTTCTTGGAATATGAGTATGAAAATTTCCCAAAGTGTTAATAAAAGTGTCCTCTTTCCAATGAACCAACCCGTTTTGAAAAATAACTTTTAGTTTTTGAGAAAACAATATTTGAAGTTTTGATAAAATTTCGATGTTGCAATTTTCATCGATAATTTCGCTATAAAATTAATTTCTTGAAGGATCCTTGTGGAAATCTCACCAATTATTAATTAAAGTATCCTCTTTTTAATGCAAGAAGCCGCTTTGAAACATCAGTTTTAGTTCATGAGAAATAAATTTTTGAAATGATCGAAAAAAATTTCGAATTTTGCAATTTTCGATGATTAAGTTTTAAAAATTCGTATAAAATCCAGTTTCTGGACTATGAGTATGAAAATTTCCCAAAGTGGTAATAAAAGTGTCCTAAAAGTGGCCGTTCTAAACATCTTCCTAACCCAACCCAACCCAACCTCATCATTTATGAAATCGATTGGAAAATCAATAACTTTCCCATCATGCATAATATTATTAAAATGTCGCCAATTGTATATCTCAACATCGTTAATGGCCACCTTCTACACTGCCTCTAACATTCCTCAACCTTTACATCTCTTAATACTACCATAGCCTTTCGTTCATGACATATTCCCAACATCTACCAATGTCATCTTTGCTATATCTAAGTATTATCTCTGGTATCTCCGAACATAGCCGTTCTATTCAACAATTGTAGTATGTATATACAAATACATTCGGCTAAATCTTATGGGAAAACGATTATATCTATTTATTTCATCACAATTAAAACGTCCAGCAAACTTTTGCAATTAGATTCATTAAATTGATTTAAAAATTTTCTTAATAAACTTAAAATTTGTAAAATTATCAAATAAAAAGATAATTTTAAATCGTTACATAAATTAATGTAGGAACCGGTTTAACGGCGTTAATGCAACCAGTTTGTAGCCGCGAAATCTTAAAAGGTTTTGAAAGGAAGTCGATAGCCAAGGCACCTTCCACGTGAACGAACCTGGGTCAATTCGAAAGAGATAAGCCGAGGTACGTGTAGAAGCTGCTTCCATATATCTCACCGCCGTCGTCCCTTGGTTCTTATCTTCTCTCCAGTTCGACCAGAATTTATCTTTCGATTGTGTAACGCCGGTTACCGGACAGATAAATTAGCCGCGTCGAGTCAAAACATTTTCGGGGACGACGCCAAAGGGCCAACAGGTAAGCACCAAACACTAAAGCTTACACGCAGCTTTGCCGCACCGACAAACGTACCGCCTCTTTTCAAATAGTCAAGTAAAGGTGGAGAAAAGTCAAAACTTTGGCCGTGGGTGGCCAAACAATGAATTATAGGTCCGGGTTTAAGGTAATAAGATTTCCCTTTTTCTATATCGTCGTGATGTTTAACTTTTAAACTTCTTTAGGGACATAATAAAGAACATGCTCGACTCATCTCCGCGTTGTTGTATTCGCACATTCAATGTCGCCGCAGATTCTTTTCTTCAAGCCACTGGGTATGAAAGAGAATCGGATGTTTGGCGTCCTGATAGCGAGCAGGACAAGGTTCTTTTGTCCTTTTACAGTCTGACAATTCCGTGATATATGTTTACACCACAGTCGCCCTACAATTACTTAGGCTTGTTGCCGTACCGCAAACTGTCAAAGCAAAATAATCTTTTTAGTCTTTTTGTGTCTGCTAATCGACCTTCTATACCTACACACCGGAATTTAGCCACCTGGACTTTGCCAAATGTCATTTATTGACGTAAGCAAAAACCCAAAATGTAATCCTTCAAAATTTGATATCTGAAATTGTTTAAAATGGTTAATAGTCCCGAAGGACTTTTGTTGCCAAAAAGTCCTGATGCTATGAGGCTCCGGAAACAAATCTTCAAAACCTTCACCATATTCTCATTAATAAACATTGCAATGTACGCGGTCCTTGTCTACCGAGTGCTCAGCTTGAGACATACTTCGCTGCAAACGAACTCCTACAGAGGTAAGTAAGAGTCTCTTTAACGCCGCCTAAAGAGAGAGCGAATTATCTCACAGCTCGTTCGAGTTCCAGGTGAGTGAGATAAACGCAAAAAGTTGTGGTATCGTGAAACGATTGCACCGCGTTGTCATGCACAAGAAATTTATTACGTAATAGTGGCGATTCATGTAACGTGATTCGGTTCATATTATACACGCTAGAGAGCGCCGATGTGTATTTATTTATGGTCTCGCCCGGTATGATATATTTCTTGCAATTCCATCGAGCTGTACAGGGTGGGAATCCGATAAATCAATTAGGTGTAAAGAGGTATTATTTATTATTTCAAATAGATGTTAATAAATTAGTTATAATATAAATAATTTTGTGATTATGATTAATGTGTATAAGGAGTTATTAACTTATTGCTAATAAAGTATAACTAAAAAAAGTATAACGTTATAATTTAATTTATTAAATATTTGTTTCAGATAACGGAATGTTCTTGTAATTATATTTCAGAGAAACAGTTTTGTAATTATATCCATTTAAAGTTAAAACGTTTCTTGGATGTCAAAAAATAAAAAAGAAACAAGTAGGTTCATGCTAATTTGGAACCGCAAATGATGGAACTGAAGGAAGGCTTTGCAACAGTCACCTTTTAATTTGTGGAGTTTGTGGTCCACAAATCATCCCCGTCGGCTCCAGTATGGCGTCCGCGGTCTATGCGGTTCGGACCGCTCGATTGGTCCACAAAACAGCTGCACATCGAGACCATTAAGAGGATCATAGGCGGCACCGATATTCAGTTTTACCTGCCTACCCGAGTACCCGAAGGGGAACCAGGATAACGTAATTTTCTTAGGGTGAAACCCATCACAATCCCATCGCCCGCTGGGAACCAAATGTCGTTTTCCAAATAAAGCAAATCTCCAAATTACAAAATCTAAACAATTGATCTAATTTGTAATTATAAAATGTACTAAAGTTGAAAAAGATCTAACTCGTTTGGGTTTGGTGTAATTCCCAAGGGGTGAATTGATTATTTGTTCTTTTTTATGGATCATGATCTAAATCTGAAAATCTCCCGCGGCCGTTGATAATGATACGAATATAAGTTGGTGTAAATGGGGGCGTTCGGTGATGTCCCTGGTTTAACGTTTAGGGGGAACGAGGATTGCACGGCTCCACCACAATGGACGCGCCGGGGGCGTCGACATCGGGTACACGGCAAATGGATGTCGTACATTGTAAGCTCGACAAAAGGTGTCTCGAACACGTGTCCCTTCTCACATGAGGACACCCGGCGAGGACATCGAGGGGATCCCCAGGGATGATACAACGCGTGCGTGAGAGACCACCGATTCTCAACGATTATAGGATGTATTTTTGCCAATGGACTCATAAATCAGTGCAATTGTTAAAAAAAAAAAAAGAATTTTGCCTGGGAATGCTATTAAAAATGTTTTTTCGTCATCACATCAACTTACAGCAGTATATAATAAGCTCGACAAATCAACTTACAATTAGTTGGATTTTATTTGATAATAACTCATTTAGCTATTGATTCAAGGCATTTAATTCAAGATCAACCCAAGTCAATCCTTTTCTGTAACACGCTCTGTTCCTCATTCAAACCCTATACGACTAGTAAAGATTTCTGAGAATGAACTTAATCCTTCCTTGAAATGAAACCAAGGCAATATCCATGATTTTTTAACATCACTTATTAAATTCTCCCTAAAACGTCGCGTATAAACTTACTAATACTGTTAGATTTTGTGGATTTTAAGTTTTGTTAAAGCCCTAATTTTGAATGGTAGTTTGACAAAGCCAGTTAAAGGAGAAAATAGTACGTGATTCTTGGACCATTGTGCTAGCATATTGATCTAACCACGAATAATTAAATTTTCTGCTCAAATGGCAATCTAGGGATACATCCTTGTAAAAACTTCAACTACTGGTTAGCTAGCCTAATATACTAACCGAGATCATATTTGTGTATTCTTTCTTTCTTCTAAGGAAAACTATCTTGTTATCCTGTTTACTCTTATTTAATGATAATTCCAAGCCTAGTATGAAATGTGCTGTTTTTCGCAATAATACTCAATATGATTCAATTCCAATTGCTTGCACAAGCAAATATATGTATACCTAAAAGTAGTAAAACGTGATTTATAGAATCAGATGGAGTGTTTTCTAAGGAAATATTTGATTCTGATATTAAATTAAAACGAAATAGCATTATATATCTTTTTTATATATGAACTTAGGATTGATAAAGCAATGACATCTTTGGTAAAATTTATTAGGTTATATATGCATTTCGCGTCTTGGTCAATCTAACATATCTTTTTCAAATTGAATAACCATGCGTATTTGAAGACAAGCCGATAGCAGTCACAATTACATTATGCTTATTAGATTTCGGTGGCAATCTAAGCTAGCCTTACCCTTACAGATTAGGCATTGATCTGTTGCAGAGTGTGCAGAGTTTGTGAATTGCAATTACAATTTGATCAACATATTGAAGCAATGTTTCCCAAAAACTACCGAATGTTTAGCTTTTATTATTTATCTGGATTTTTAGCAAACTATGGTGCCTACGCGTACTACTGAATATTGGAATCAATCTAAATTTTGTCCTTTTGCTCACAAAGTTTCTATTCATGCTGAGCTGACCTATACCTAAATCATTCATAACAAATGTACCGCCCTAGTTAAACTGACTGCGTTTGAAAGCTATATCAATATTATAATTACGACTCTCTAAGTGATAATCAGCAGGTGTCAATTTAAGGACATAAAATGGGGATAGCTTAATCCTTATAACCCTCTAGTCCACATGGAAACGTAAGTTTTAGAAAGTTTGCTGGGGTTCGTGATTTAATGATCGGGGTTCAGGTTCAGGTTCGTGATTCGGGTTGGGGTTTGACGTTCGGAATTCGGATTTCGGTCGTTGTTTGGGTTCGGCTGCGGTTTAGGGATTCGGCCTTAGTGTTTGAGATCAATTTCAGGATTCTGGATTCATAATTACTTGTTGGGGTTTGAGTTCCAGGTTCAGGATTCAAGTGCAGGACAGGTTTCTGACTCGAGTTCTGGTTCCGGTTTCGGATTTGTGGTTAGGCTTCGTCGTTTGGTGTTCATTATTAGGATTTGGGTCAGGGATCGACTGCGGTTGCTGTTTAGGGGTCTACGGATCGGGATTCGGAATTTGTGTTTTGTAATCAAGTTCGTGTGTTAGATTTGGATTTGTGTTCAATGTACGGGTTTATATTCGGGGTTCAGGTTTAGATATCGTGTTCGGGATTTGGGGTTGGCGGTTCGGAGTTTAGTGTTCGATGTTGGGTTTCGTGGATGGAGACTTGGATTTGGGTTTGGGCTTTGAGATTGGTGTTCTGGCACAGAATAAACAGAAATGACACTGACGTCGATTCGTTTGATGTTGGCGAAACCTCGTTTTGTGACCTCAATTTAAAATTCCCCATCTTATCGCGAGTTATCAAAAGGCACAGAACACATTGGCGGTATTCCGCCAAATCTTTTCCATCAATAGCAGCATACCTTAGCAACTTGCTATAATATGGCGTCAAATTTGGCGGAATACCGGCAGTGTTACTCTGTGGTTTTGGTTCGGTTTCGTGTAGAGGGTTCAGTTGGGTGTGGGTTCGCGTTCGGGAAAGCTGAAATTTATTTGGTACATACACAGCTGGAATTTTTCTCGTTTATGTACCGAATAATAATTAAGAAAATAAAAAATATGGAAAGTCTTTGTAAGTATCTTGCTACACTTTATGGAATGCAGACTTTGAACGCTGTTCTTATTCGTCTATTTATCCCTAGATTTCTTCCTTACCAATCCTATAAGAAATGTATAATTTCCTATTATTTATTTCATGTAGTGGTAATTCGTACAAATTCCAAGCATTGTGTCACAATTCAATATTCCCTATCTTTTTATAATCATTTGTGTAAATTATTAGCATAACTATCAAGTTTTACAGCGTCTACAATTTGTTATTATTTCCAATATGTCAGAAATGTTGCTAATTCAATATCCATTAACTGCAGGTTTGCAACATCACCAAATTCTCTGAAAACTTTTTCTGTAGCAATTTCTTTTCAGGTGTTTAGCTAATACACAGATAAAACATGAATATGGTGCTAAAGTTTCGGAAACTTAGGTTGCTCTTGTATTGTTGATCGTTTTTTTTCTGCCCATGTTTATCCATATAGACATGTACAAAATTGCTATTGGAATTCTTCTAAGTATTGGTGTCTGATCCTAGCATCTAATATAACCTAAACAGACTATAAATGAATTGAGAAACCGTAGGTGTCAACCTATCCAAAGATCACTAAAATACTTGATTAAAAGACAGAGATGAATCAACATAAATTAAAACACCGGTTGACGAGACAAGATGTTGTCATAAATTTTGAGTTTTACATGAAACCAAATTCTACATGTCTTCGTTTTCTGATTAGTAATTCAAAAAAGTTATGTTTTAATTAATAAATCATAATTGTGTTAAATATTATTGATTATAATATCTAGATATGGATCTGATTCGTTTTTAATTAACATATCTAAGTAGTAACATGTATGAGATTTCCGAGTAGGTACGAAAATAAGCCATCCATAGATGGATTTCATTATTGACTAGTCTCTAGTATAGTACCACTTATTTAGTTTGTTTGCTTCTGTAAACTGCGAAGGTATGCGTATACATGCGAGTACGAGTATTTCACATAGAGCATACATTGTTAAGTTAACGACCGTGCAATCATCTATTTATGAACGAAGCCGTAGGTGGTGTTCCTAACGACAGATTGGTTATCCTTGGTCCTTTGGCTACCAGCCTCCTATCGCATAGAGTTAATTATGAGGAGATGCTGGCGGCAAAATTAAAGAATATCATCCTAGCCCGAGACTTGGTACAGAGAGAGCTACGGGCAAACCGGTTTAACGAGTATATTAACTCCAACAGCTGGAGAAGCAATCATCACAAATACCTACACTTTCAGGAATGGCGGCACGCCAAGGATCGGTTTTCGTTAAGAAGAAGAACTAAACGAATATAATAAAAAATTTTAATTTGAATTTTTCTTTTCATTAGGATTTTAGCATGTTTGAGGATAAAGGTGTCGTTAAGACTTCTAGTATTCGTGTTTCGTTTATGTTCTCCTCAACTGCCCAGTTGTTTATTTGCTCGTTTCGGCTTTAACGATCCAGTAAACAATTTCATTTGTGTCAGCAGTAAATATACAGAACGTTACGAGCTTTTTTTTAGCGTCGACGCGGTTGTCGCCACGATCTTTTTGTCCACTTTGTGTTCTTTAACGACTCTACTAGTTTAATCCGGCGTTCTTCCACTTGAAA